CCGACGAACAAATCCGTTGGAATTCCGTTGAAAATATACCACGGAAGAACCGTTGGAAATCCGTTGAAATATTCCAACGGATGAAAGCGTTGGAATTCCGTTTGGAATTTGCCATGGAATTCCAACGAATCTGCGTTTCTGACGAATGATTTCCAACGGATATATCCGTTGGAAATCCGTTGGAAAAGTCGAATTCCAACGGATTTTCGGTCATTTCCAACGGATTTGCCGGTTGGAATTTGGGGTTTTTTTTTGTAGTGGGCTAGTTACAAGAAATGGTAATGCATGTAGACAAAAGAAAATAAATATGTCTTGGTGTATATGTTGCATGATTCACTTCATTTCTTTATGCTGCAAATAGACCAGAATATATTCTCCATAATTGTAGATTGTTGCCTGAATTTTATCACCTCATTCGACCGAACCGTAATATCGTGTTCGTCCAAACCGATGTGTTTGTCCTTTAACACTTTGTCCTTCAACATTATGATGGCCCGTTATTTATATATATATATATATTCAAATGTTCTTGTCTGTTGCTCTGCAGGTTATATGGCTTTCCAAGTTCGTAAAACAAATAAATACCAAATTCCATAAACAACAATTAAAAATGCATATATATATATATATATATATATATATATATGTTGAAGATATTAAGATTAGTGGTACAGATATATTAGATGTTATGAATACCAATGATATAATATTTTATTTGGCCTAATTTTCCGACGTAAACTTGGCTTAAATCAGGCAGAAAAAAATGGGGTCCATGTTATAATGAAAAACAATTGAATGGGTGGTTCACCAACACCCATTTCTCAAGAATTTATAAAATATTATCTTATCCTATGGTTTTATATTTCAACTCGTACACATCTTTTGGACCAATGCAACAAGTCTTATAATGATATTTAGATTTTTCCCGTACATTCGGTGGGAAATGTTCTTTATGAACGTCGTATTTTCATGGTTCTATTGGAAATGAAAGATGATTGGTTACGAATATTTGAGCAATCGAAATTTTGTACACATCGTAATCAATACAAGAAGACACACGGGCTAACTCACACGAGAGTGACGAATCCAAACGCTTCTGTCCAAAATAATTTCGTAATTAAAAAAAACTAATTTGCATAATTTGTATAAAACGATTTTTTATATAAATCTAATACTCGTTATCGGTTGAAAGTTGTTCAAATAAATCCATAAATATGATAAGAATTTTAGATTTAATTGACGTATTTATATCGTAGTGTTGGAAACGGCCTAAATATTCGAATATTTATCATGTTTTAAATCTATTATTTCTCTAATTTTGAATTACAGTGACTATATTTGGGGAAAAAAAACCTGTACATGGAAATAAACACACTTTATGAAATATTATTATATTGTGTATGGTATGATTCAAACGTAATAAGATATGTCATTACCAATCTGCCGACGTTTTACAGTCGTTATAATGCCATGAGCAAATGCACGCCTATATAGATATATCCAGATAATTTACTCGAAATTCTCTTGGCCGTTGGATTTCAGTAGAGGCAATCCCAACCGTCCGATCATCTCCATAAGATTTCCACGTCTTGTGGGTCCCACAATAGTAGGTCCATACCGTTGTAGCTGTTTTCATTACAAAAGATACATAAGGAAACATGACAACAATACTTAATGTGTTGACCTAATCAGGAAATCGTAATCCATCACGCATACACACACACACGCATGCATCCTCTATATGTATATATATATGTGTGTGTATATGCAATTTTGCCATATTTGCGACGAAAGTGAGAGTTCGTATTCTATCTACACATGTAAGCAGAATCATATAAAGGCATTCATTACCAGTTGGCCAAAAAGCGCAATGTTCTAAACACGTAATGATGATAATACTCTTTTAAAAGCTACCAAATCAGGCGGCATATACAAAATTATCACCCATCCATTATTAAAAAAAAATTGTTAAATTGTGTATATATATTCGAATTAATCTGCAGTGTTTGGCTGTGTGTTTCGAAAGCACATAAAAATCTCCATCTTTTTTTTTTTCAAAGTCTCCAGCTTTATTTCTATTTCTGTTCCTTTCTGACATCCATCAAATGGCGGTGATGGCGATTCACGCAAATTAGGGTTTTTTTTTTCTCTTTCATTTCTTCTCTCGAGAAATTATTCTCACACATCTCGATTCTCTCTCCTTTTCGCCTTGTCCATCCCCACCGACTGTAACTCTCCCAACTCCTCACATTCCCGCTTCTGGTCGCCCAATTGTCGCGTGGGATCGTCCAGATTTGTCTTCTCGCTGTATGCTCTGATCGGTAAGCCATACGATTGGTTCGTTCCGACAAATCTACCTCTACTTTCGGTCGGATCGGGTGACAATTGTCTTTTTTTTTTTTGGTTAGATTTGTTTGCGTTTCCCGTAATGAATAGCCGAGTAATAGAGTACGGATTACAGATGTGATGGATCTTTATTAATTGCGTTAAGATTAGTTGCTTCTTTCCGAAGATGACAGGATGATATTACGCGTATTTTCTCGCGAGTATAGCTGAAGATGACATAATCTGATCTAATTTAATAACTTGTCAAGTTTCACTTTTGCTTTAGCTCGTCTTCGTATCATTGTCTCGATTCGATCTGTCTTGTCTGGATCTGTTTCCTATTTGTGATCTTTTAAGTTGTCACTATATCTAAAGATTCATACTTTTTCTGGATTTTGCCCGTTAGTGATTCTTTTCCTCGGCCGTTACCTGATATCTATGATTTGAATCCTTGTTCTCTACCATTGATATGGAGCTGATTCTGGGTCGATATGACTTTAGGGTTCATCATGGCGTTGAAGTCTAGCTCTGTTGACAGTAGAACCAGGAGCTCTATACAGATCTTTGTCGTTGTCGGGTTGTGTTGCTTTTTCTACATCCTGGGTGCATGGCAAAGGAGCGGTTTTGGCAAAGGTGACAGCATTGCTCTGGAGATGACTAAGAGCGGATCAGATTGCAACATGGTTCCTAGCTTGAGCTTCGAGACTCATCACACGGGTGATCTGTCCGTTGAGGAATCGTCAAAGGCCAAGGCTTTCGAGCCATGTGATGCTCGTTACACTGATTACACTCCCTGCCAAGATCAAAGGCGAGCCATGACTTTCCCCAGGGAGAACATGATCTATCGAGAAAGGCATTGCCCGCCCGAGGAAGAGAAGCTTAATTGCATGATTCCGGCCCCCAATGGATACGTGACCCCGTTCCCATGGCCCAAGAGCCGTGACTATGTGCCATACGCGAATGCACCGTACAAGGCCTTGACCGTAGAGAAGGCTATTCAGAATTGGATTCAGTATGAGGGTAATGTATTTAGATTCCCTGGTGGTGGAACACAGTTCCCTCAAGGTGCTGATAAATATATCGATCAGCTTGCATCAGTGATACCGATGGGTAATGGAACGGTTAGGACAGCTTTGGATACCGGTTGTGGGGTATGTTTTTATCTTGGATCATCTTACATGTTTTTTGCAGTTTATCGGAATTTCTAGCTTTATGCATTGTAAACTTTACTTGAAAATTTCTTACAGGTTGCCAGTTGGGGTGCATACTTGTGGAGCAGAAATGTCGTTGCTATGTCATTTGCACCGAGAGATTCTCATGAGGCCCAGGTCCAATTTGCTCTAGAGAGGGGTGTTCCTGCAGTTATCGGTGTTCTTGGTACTATAAAGTTGCCATACCCGTCTAGATCTTTCGACATGGCTCACTGTTCTCGTTGTTTAATTCCATGGGGAGCAAATGGTTAGGACAATTCTTCAAATTGCTCGCTTTCTTATCTTGAAACAGTCCGGTTTCTGAAACTTCAGATCGAGTTTGGAGAAGGTAAAATGTTGTTTTTTTTGTGTGTGCGTGTGCGCAGACGGGATGTACTTGATGGAAGTGGACCGTGTCCTGAGACCAGGGGGCTACTGGGTGCTGTCTGGTCCTCCGATCAACTGGAAGACATACTACAAGGCGTGGCAGCGGCCCATGGAGGAGCTTCAAGAGGAACAACGAAAGATCGAGGAGATTGCCAATCTTCTCTGTTGGGAAAAGAAGTATGAACATGATGAGATTGCGATTTGGCAGAAGAGAGTAAACGACGACTCATGCCGCTCAAGACAAGACGATCCTCGAGCTAACTTTTGCAAAACCGACGACCCTGATGATGTCTGGTATGGCCAATGTTTTATGGCATATGGTAACTGTAATCTAGCTTGCTTTGAGCTTTAGCCTTTGTCCTAAGCCTCATTTCCATGTCTGATCCTAGGTACAAGAAAATGGAGGGATGCATTACTCCGTATCCCGAGGTAAGCAGCCCGGAGGATGTAGCCGGAGGCGAACTGAAGGTTTTCCCGGAAAGGCTCAATGCAATTCCTCCTCGGATCTTGAGTGGTTCCATTTCCGGGGTCTCAGTTGAGGCATACGAAGAGGATAACCGACAGTGGAGAAAGCACGTCAAAGAGTACAAGAGACTTAACAGTCTCCTCGACACTGGAAGATACCGTAACATCATGGATATGAACGCCGGTTTTGGTGGATTCGCTGCAGCTATCGAGTCGAGAAAACTCTGGGTTATGAATGTGGTGCCCACAATCGCCGAGAAAAACACCCTTGGAGTTATATATGAGCGAGGACTTATCGGAATTTACCATGACTGGTAAAGTCTCTAACCCCTTTTCACCTTTTCTTACAAACTTTTAGAGAGATTTCTGTTAATAATCTCTGTTTCCTTGTACGATCTCAGGTGCCAGGCTTTCTCGACATACCCAAGAACATATGACCTTATCCACGCGAACCATCTCTTCAGTCTGTACAAGGACAGGTATGTATATATATGTACAAAAGCTCAGTTATTGGTTTCTTATGCTTACAGAGACTAAGACCTGAGTTTTCCTTAAATGGGTCTGTCGGAATCTCAGGTGCAATGCAGAAGACATTCTACTGGAGATGGATCGGATTCTGCGTCCAGAAGGGGCAGTCATATTCCGAGACGAGGTCGATGTCTTGATCAAGGTGAAGAAGATCATCGGGGGAATGAGATGGGACTCGAAGTTGGTGGATCACGAGGATGGCCCGTTAGTTCCCGAGAAAGTTCTGATCGCCGTGAAGCAGTATTGGGTCACCGGCAGCAACTCCACATCAGCAAACTGAGAATTTTCCGGCGACAGAGTCACCGGACGTTTTGATCGGAGGAAACCGTGGATTGATTGATGACCTTTTCAGTTCGAGAGATTTGTTCGCTTTTTGCTAACACTATCTACGGGATCCGTGCTTGGCCGCTTGTCGATGATTTATACAGAGTTAGACGCAACTTTGTGAGATACAATCGTCTAAAAGCTTTATGAAACTATTTAATTATTTACGATTATTTTTTTTCTTGGGTTCCATCTGAAAGCTTCGGACATGGATGGCGGTGTTCTTCGAGAAACTATTACATGTACTGTCCAATCCACAACGGAATGCTCTCTTTCAGAAGCTCTAGTGCTACTTAAGATTTGAGATCACGACATGAAATCTTTTGATAACATCGTGGTCTTTCAGACAAGAAAACGTTCTTCTGCATTTCAGGTTTTCTATATATCACACGCTAAACCATTTCAAATCCAAGGACAGGTTCAGCAATAAATTCAAGAACCCACGTGATGGAATGTCAGAGAACAAACCCAGCACGACTTTAAACCAAGTGGGTCGACCAGAGTGCCATCGCCGTCAGATTCCAGCGACCACCAGAGACCAATCCGCGTAAAAGGTAACAAAAGAGGTCATGGCTTGGCTTGATAAGAAACAGTAATAGCTACCTATCGTCTTTACAAGCATTTCAGTTCCACAGAGACAGATGAACCAAAACCCCTTCGGTTATGTTTCTTCCAGGGTAATTTTGATTCAGAAGAAAACCTCGTCATCCCTTTGGAAGGGTACTGTCTGAAAACCCTGTTTCGGTTCATTATTATACAAAGAGAAATCGATCGAAGCCAGGTGTGGCACAGAGTGTATAATGTGTATATACAAAACTCATAACTTTTTCGCCTAATTTGCTATGGGGAAAGGCAACCAAGCTCTGTTTTCAGAAGAAAAAGTAGTACATTCCCGTGGACGATATAACCAAATCTTAGAAGGCCTCGTAAGAACGTTACAGTGTTCATTCGTTCTTGAACTCTTTAGTAGGGCGTGCTTCAAACCCTCCCTCTCTCCTTTTCTCGAGCGAGTAAGGCATGTAAGTCCCAAGAATTCTATCCCACATGACGAAGAAGGGCTGAGAAAAATTGTACTTACTCCCATAGAGCTGATGATGAACATCATGATAGGCAGTATTGTTCTTAAAGAAAACGTGGAAGAGATTCCCCGGAAGCCATAGCCCGCAATGGTCATCCACTGTCTTGATGGTGGCAAAGGAGAAGAAGAAGATGGAAGTTCTTGGAGACATACCCGAGAGGAGGAAAGATAAGGCACCGCCTATTGTGTCGAGCAGAAGGCCCTCTACCGGGTGGTTGTATAAAGCCCCAAAGGCGTAGGGCACGACAAGACGATGGTGTTGGGAGTGGATATGTTTGTATAAGAACTTGTTGTGATGCATATACCGATGCATGAAGTATTGCCAAGTGTCGAGGACAATCATGGCTGTCACAAACTGTCTAGCTATGACCACAAGGGAAGTTTGCTGCCCATTCTCAGCCTCGGTATCACTTCCTGTCACCTGCCGATGGCAAACAGAAGATAAGAGGTAGTTCAAAACTGAAAGGGTGTTTCAATTTGGTAGTTTCTACAATCAAATGGGATCATTATGTTGTCTGTATATGCCAGACCCGATGATCATACATTTTGAGTCACGGGTATAACTAATAAGCATGAAGAGAGAACTCTCGTTGCAAGATCTGTCAACCATATATAGTAAAAGAAAACTCTTGCTGCAAGTTCTGCCAAAATCTTAGCAATACACCCGAAACATTCTCAACATCAACCACAAATCCGATGAAACAGAGCTCGAGAAATTCAAAAGTTATGGATATGGTATCGTTCAATGGTACTAGATACGTAGATACATGCCTATAGCAAAAGAGTTTTCAAGACATCTATGTCTATTGACACTGCACTTTTCATTATAAACAGCACTCAAAGATACGAAAGAAGAACAAGAGGAAGAAGAAGCCATGACCCAAACTGCTTTCTAATCATTCAAAGACCTTAGTGTATAAGGAAACCCACAAAATCAAAATCAAGTTTTCCTCTGACTACCCTGGCTGTTAGCAAATTCTGAAATCTGATCATCTCATGCGCATACATATCGAGTTTTCCTCAGACATATCAGAAGATCCACTGCTCATAAAATTCAGAGAATTCTTTACATCTAAAACTGGGCATACTTAAAGAACTGAACTTGCCATCGGAAAATCAACCTGCGAAATGATTTGCAGAAGAAAAAACTTTTCTTTGTGCTTCTCAGCTTCTGATTCTTATGCATCAACCAATTCGATCAAAGAAAGTGGAAGCTCGCACACCAATCAGACCCAGAATCACATCAATGATCAAAATTCAATCGATAAGTATCAACCTTGTCATCCTATCGGAAACACCATGGCACCAAAAGCAGGAATTCTTCACCGATATACCAAGAACGAAAAAAATCTTATTGCAACGACTAAAACATGCGCGTACTTACGACCTAAGATCATCACAGAATCACAACAGGACAAACCTTTCAAACCATAAACATACAGAAAAAACGTAAAACAAAATCGAAAAATAGAAACTTTACCGTGAACAAGAGGATTGCAACGACGGCTTGAACAAGCTGTTGGAGAAGAACCCCTTTAACGACGGTGGACCTGGAGACGAGATTCTTCTCCTCCTCCTCGATCTTCGAATGCAACCTGTAACTCTCCCAGGACGAAAGCGCCACGTAAATCCCAGAATACAACCAATAAACCACAATCGGGACGATAGTTCCCAACAATTCGTCCGACAGAGCAAAACCCATGATCCTAAATCTGGAAGAACATAAACAGAAATCCGACACAAAACTACTTCTGGGTTTTCACTGAAATGGGTATCGCCAGAAAAAGAGGGGAAAGCCTGCCAATAGCTGGATTATTTCTCAATTTGAAGGGGGGGGGGGGGGGGGGGAGGGGTCAAAGAAAATCCTTTACAC